CCTGATCATCTCAATCCCCCTGGGCATCATTTCTGGATGGGCTGGTGGGGAGACGCGAAGCGTCAATAATTCATATTTAGGATGGACGATGGGGCAGAATCAAATGTAATTGCAGTACGAGAAACAGGGGATCGTTAAGTCCGGGGGGGTAGAAATTATCCTTTTTTATAAAAGAAAATTGGTTTCTGCTCGCAGTGAGTTGTCCACTCCACTGCTCGCGCACTCATCCCACCCACCCACCGGCAACTTGGTTTGCAAACCTCATGCGGCGGCGATTGCGATTAGTGTTCGGCGCTGGCTGGTGCATCTTTGGGGCCGCACCAACCCGCGCATGCGCGCGCAATGGCCAAGTAGTTTGGCGTTACCGACGCGGCCGCGGTGGTACTGACCGCTCGGCACACCCCAGCGGACGCTGGAGTGCGAGTCGGCAATTTGGGCGGGTGCGGTACCATGGCAACATCGACATTCGAAGACGCGATGATGAAGATGAGTTTGATAATGATAGTAGCGACGTTGGCGACGATGCTGACAGCGACGACGGCACGGCCAATGACGGCGCCGATGCCGATCACGCCGACGACGATGACGGCGTCCTCGCGTCGGTGATGAACGTTTTGGAAGGAATTCGAATTGCGCGCGGCAGACGCGCGAGAGTGGCCCGCATGGTTTGATTTGACACGGTCCGTGCCCCCCCCCCAGCACGCGCGCAAGGGCGTTCGAACGATTTCGGCATGCGCGCGCGAAGCCCGTTTGGGAGCATTTTATGAACATGTGGAAAAAAACGCTTTCTTAAGGATTCGCACGAACGCGCGAGGACGCTTTTGTTGAAAATCAGTGTTGCGGAACCTTGTGGTTTGTGCGTTTGGGGGACACTCGATTTTGAAATCCCTTCGGAACCAAAGGCTTTTGAAGGATTCCGGCATGCGCGCGCAACGACGCGCGCGCGTGCATTTCGTCTCATGTGTTGCAGAGGACTCTCGCGACGGAACGCGCGCAAGGGCGTTCGAACGATTTCGACATGCGCGCCTACGAAGCCCGTTTGGTAGCATTTGATGAAAATGTTGGTAACACAATTGTTTTCTTAAGAATTCGCAGGAGCGCGCGCATGCTATTCTTGAAAACCCGTGTTGCTGAACCTTGAGTTGTTATATGTTTTTGGGACATTCGATTTCGAAATCCTTCCGAAAGCAAAGGTTTGAAGGATTCCCGCATGCGCGCGCGACGACGCGCGCGTGCGCATGTCGTCACATGTTTTGCAAGGGGTTCTTGAAAACTTCTGAATTTGATAAACGCTAAACGAGTGCGCGCGCATAGTATGTTTTGCAGAGGATGGCGGGGGGCGATACCGGCATAGCTGGGATAGTATGAACTCACAGGTCGGATGGACATTGGTTCAGAATCATATTTAACTCAAGGAGAGAAGGTGAATGTTTAACCCCAGGGGGGAGGGGGGTAGAACCTATATTCTTTAGGAGAATCCACCAATGCTCAACTTGAAATTGTTCACTCCACTGCGCGCGCCCACCCACCCACCCGCAACTTGGCATGCGAACCTCATGCGGCGGCGATTGCCATGAGTGCTCGGTGCTGGCTGGCGCATCTCTGCGGCCGCGACAGCCCGCGCATGCACGCCCGCGAGCAGCGGCCAGCTACTTTGGCGCTACCAACACAGCCGCCGTGGCGCTGACCGCTGGGCACATGCCAGCGGGCACTTCAATGCGAGTCGGCGACTTGGGCGGGCGCGGTATCATGGCAACGTCGACATCAGTAGACACGGTGATGATAGTAGCGATGCTGGTGGCGATGCTGGCAGCGACGACGGCACGGCCAGTGATGGCGCGGATGCTGATCACGCCGACGACGATGACGGCGTCCTCGCGTCGGTGATGAAGGTTTTGGAAAGAGCTCGACAGGCGAGCGCGGTCGACGCGCGAGTGTCCCGCATAGTTTTATTTGACACGGATCGTGCCCCCCCAGCACTCGCGCAAGGGCGTACGAATGATTTTGGCGTCCGGCGCCAGAGGCCGGTGTGGCTGAATTCCATGACAAACCTTTGGTTTTCAGAAGAAGTCGCAAGAGCGCGAGCGCACGATTTTTGAAAACTGATGTTGCGAAACCATGTGCTTTGTGTTTTGGACACTCGGTTTGGAAATCGCTACGAAATCGAAGATTTGTATTAAGGATTGTGGCATGCGCGAGCGACGACGCGCGCGTGTGCACCTCGTCCTATCTGTTGCAAAGGATTCCCTCGACGGCACGCGCGCAAGCGCGTTCGCACAATTTCGACTCGCGCGCGCGAAGCCCGTGTGGTAGCGTTATGAAACCTATGGTTTCTTAGAAAGTCGCAAAAGCGCGCAAGGCTTTGCTTGAAAACCCGTGTTGCAAAACCCTGTGGTTGTATATGTTTGTTGGACATTCGGTTTTGCACCCCTCGCGAAACCGAAGGTTTCTGAAGAATTCCGGCATGCGCGCGCGACGACGCGCGCGTATGCATTTCGTCTCATGTGTTGCAAAGGGATCTTGCAAACTGATGATTTGTGATCAACGCGTTCGCGCTCATAGAATTGTTGCAGAGGATGGCGCGGGGGTCGATACCGGCCTGGATGGAACTCATACGCAGGATAGGACGATGGGGCAGAATCATGTCAATTGCATTACGAACAGGGGGAGCGATAATCCCAGGGGGGGGTAGAAGCTTTTCTCAATTTAGAAAGGAGAATCTACGAGGTGCAATATTTGCGGTGCAATCTAGGGCCGCGACGAGGCGGCGACGAGGCGGCGACGGGGCGGCGACGGCGGCCCACATAGCCGCCACACCGACGACACGGCCCGGTTCCTTAGAACGGAAGTAGAATCCCCTGAATGCAACCACTGCTTGGGATACATGTGTAAATCTATATGTATATATACTTGTACCTAAAATGTGTGCACATTCCCCTGGCGAAGTCAAGTCACTGTCGCGAGGGTATGACACGGCTGAAACCTAGCATATGGCACCCAGCATTGCGGGCGATGCATCAAGCTGGAGGCACAAGCTCGCCGTCGGGCAGAACCGTTTGGAGAGCAGCCCGCAGCGGAAGCGCGCGCGCAAGCGGCACAGTGGGTCGGCGAGCAGGCGACGGCCGCGGTGCAAGACAGACGGCCGGGCAGGCGCATTCGGAAAATTCGGATTCCGAGGAGAGAGGGCCAGAAGGCAGAGGCCTGCGCGTGGAAAAGCCCGGCGGGTGCCCGGAGGACGCGGCGAATGGGGCGATAAAGACACACACACACACACAAGCACGCACATACACAGCGACACGTTTTCTGCTCAGCACCGCTTCTCACAGCGTCGACGGGTGCCGATGGCCCGGACGCAGCCGAAGCGGCACCGATGACCAAAAAGCACCTCCAAAAGACCAACCCGCGCACACACACACACACACACACACACACACACACACACACACGCACGCACGCACACACACACACACACACACACACACAGCGAGACGTTTTCTACTCAGCACCGCTTCTCGCAACGTCGACGCGGTGCTGATGGCCCGGAAGCAGCCGAAGCGGCACCGACGACCGAGAAAAACATCACAAACACCAATACGCACACATACACAACAACAAAAAAACTCCTTCCTCCGCCGAGGCGGTGAGGCGACACTCGCGTACGCGATGGTACCACCCACGCACACGCACGCACGCACACACGCACACGCCCACGCACACGCACACGCACACGCAAACGCACGCCCACGCCCACGCCCACGCCCACGCCCACGCCCACGCACACGCACACACACACACAGACACAGACACAGACACAGACACAGACACAGACACAGACACAGACACAGACACAGACACAGACACACACACAGACACAGACGCAGACACAGACACAGACACAGACACAGACACAGACACAGACACAGACACAGACACACACACACACACACACACACACACACACACACACACGCATGCACACACTTTTCGGTCGTCGCGGGCTGGGCCGGGTTTGGCCGCTAGCCGTCTGGAAGTTTGGCAGGCGGGCGCGCGTCGGCCAGGCAAGGAAGCAGGTCCGCTGGCCCCCAGCGGAGCAGAGGACGGGCAGGGCAGGGCGGCAGAGACCGCGGGGGCAGGGAGCGGAGCGAGGGCGGAGCGGGGCGCGGCTCAGCGGGGCGCGGTTCCTTCTCCCGCAGGACCCGCACGCGAGCTCTACCAGGGCGCGTCATCAGTTCTTGACTGGCTACCTACCAGGCCACCCCAACCCAACCCGAAGACCCGAATTTCGGGTTGGCGAGGGTACGGGTTCCATACGTGTTTTTCTATGTTCCCCACCCACCCCCCACTGGAAATGGAAGGCAAATTGAGGCCTTCGGGTTGGGCTGGGGTGGTTTGGTAGGTGGTGATTGACGCGTGGGCGATGTCAGACTACAGCTGGACGCGTCGGGTTCCAACCGAGAGGCGCGTCCCTGCCAGCAATGCCCACTGCGGCACTCGCAGACCTCGGGACGGTGGCTGGATTCGGCCGGTTGCCGAGGGGGGGGGATCAATCCGTCACCGACAGCCGCGGGGGCGTGCTGGGGGGCGTCAGGGGAGGTTGTGAACGGGAGCGGAGCCCAGCCTGGGGGAACCGATCGAGGCCGTCGCCGACGGCAACGGCGGGGTCGGTTGTGCGGACGGAAACAGGCGTAGGGAACGTCGGAGACCCAACACACACACACACACACACACACATACACGCGCGCGCTCTCTCTCTCTCTCTCTCTCTATCCCTCTCTCGCTCACCATGCACACACGCGTACATATACACACACACTCTCTCTCATACACACACGCACACACGCACAAACACACGTATACACACACATACACGCACACACACACACACACACACACACACACACACGTACGACCCCCAAAACCACGCAAACCAATAATTCGAATCAGTTGTCCCATGCTTGAAACACACAGCGCCCAGCAAGAGGTGCGGGAAGCGTGACGACCGTACGCAAAAATAGTGCCGTTGTAGCCCTCAAACGTCTTGTTCAGGGCGGGCAGCCCGACCGAGTTGTACACGTCCTGGATCCGAGCGCCAACGCCGGGTAGGGGAGGGGGAGGGAGAGGAGAAGGACGGGGAGGACGAGGGCAGGGAGGAGGACGAGGAGGAAGAGGAGGTGAGCGAGGAGGAGGAGGAGGAGGAGGAGGAGGACAAGGAGGAGGAGAAGAAGGAGGAGGAGCATCGAGGATCGAGGATGTTCGAGGATCGAGAGGAGGAGAGGGAGCAGCAGCTGCAGGGGCAGGAGGAGGGCTGGGAGGAGCAGCGGGAGGGGGCGGGAGCCGCCCGGGAGGCGCGCTCCCACGCCGCCCTCACCCCACGCACTCCAGCCAACCCGCTCCCCGCGTCGCCATGCCCCTTCCTGAGGGATGGGAGGAGGAGGATTGTCCTCCTCCCTCCCTCCCTCCCTCCCTCCCTACCTACCTCCTCCTCCCTCTCTCCCTCCTCCTCCCCTCCCTCCCTCCTCCTCCTCCATCCCTCCTCCCTCCCTCCCTCCCTCCCTCCTCCTCCTCCCTCCCTCCTCCCCTGAACCCAGTGCACCCAGCTCCCTGGAAGCCCTGGCGCCCCCCTCCCGGACGCCCCCGAGCCAGGAAGGGGGGCTCACGCGCGACCCCCACGTGCGCGCGGTCGGCGCCCCTCCCCGGTTCTCGGCGTCGCTCGGCTGTGCACCGCTGCCGACCATGGCCAGACACATGCCGTGTCTGGCATCGGCGCAGGCGACGATTGTCAAAATCGACGGCAAGGATGCACGCCCCTTGTGCGCCCATGTCGAGGCTTTGCGAGCGGGGCTGGCCATCGAAAGTGGTTAAGGATGAACCGAAGAGGCAGGGATGCAAGGGTACCTTTGGGAAGGTGAACAATCCTAATCATCGAATTCGACTGTAAGGTAAGCACATACGCTACGACGATGAGAAACCTTGCCATGAGAAATCTTGGGGCACACTCGTCGTCGATACTCGAGGTTCGGAAGTGCCCCAGAGCTTCTGCTGGCTCCCAAGGCCATTGGGTGCTAATTACGAAGCTGCTGCGGGGTACCTGCTGGCAGGACGATTGCGTCTTTGATGTGCCAACTGCACACTGGCCCGTCCTGGGGAATCCAACAGGTACCGATACCGCTACTCCCCGGACCTCTCCCAGGGTGCGTTCTGATCGGGATCTCGAGGCGAATCCAGCGGTGCCGACGAGAGCGTCCCAGAAGCCCAAGAACAGGAAAACTGGGGAGGGGTGGAGGTATGGGTACCTTTTGCTCCTCTGGCACTGGCCCATCCTGCACCTGGACCATCCCGGGTCTTGACACCGGTGCACGCGCCCCGCAGGCTTCGCCCGGAAGGCAGGCAGGCACACGGGCGCTGGCCCCAGGGCGGGCCAGGCCCGCGTCGGTGCTGGTGTGTAGCTGGCGGGCCGGGTAGGACGGCCGAGGGGGCGGGCGGACCTTCTTGGAAGGCTCAGAGGAGGAGGAGGAGGAGGAGGAGGAGGAGGAGGAGGAGGAGAGCGGCAGCGTTCGGAGAACACCAGTGCCGTCAGGAAATCAGGAAATCAGGAGGAGGAGGAGGAGGAGGGTGAGGTCTGAGGGGGAGGAGGAGGAGGAGGAGGAGGAGGAGGAGGAGGAGGAGGAGAGGAGGAGGAGGAGGGGGAGGAGGAGGAGAAGGAGGAGGAGGAAGCGGAGGAGGAGGCTGGCCTTCTGAGAAGCGCTCAGAGCCTTCTCCGAGGTCACGGAGGGCTCCCACGAAGGCCGGAGAAGCCCCGCCGCCTTCGGAGGCGGCCTGCCCCATCTTGCGTCTCCCCTCGGCGCGCCACCGATCCTTCCGGGCGACCTGCAGGCCCGCCTCGACGAGACACGCGCGTTCCACCACTCGCGAAGCAACCGCTCGCAAACGGCTTGGATCCGCCGCCGGGGACCTACGATCCACCACGAAGAGGAAGACACGTGTTTGGGGGACGTTTACGAGTAGGCACTCTGCGAGCAGTGGAACGCGCTCGGTGATCAACATGCCAAGAGAAGCCCCAGGGCACAAGACACACCTGTGCCGCGGGACCGCCTCAGCCCACGGTGACGCCCCGAGGGCCACCGCGAGGCTCTGGCCAGAGGCCCCACAAGGCGTGGCCGCTCAGAGGCGGGCCTCGGCGCAGGGCAGGAGCGGCACAGGACCGGAGCGGCGCAGGACCAGACCACCCCAGCCTGACCCGAAGACCCAAATTTCGGGTTGGGGGGCGGTACGGGTTCCACGTGTGCTTTTTCAACGTTCCCCGACGCCGCCCCCCCACACTGGGACTGGAGGGCAAATCGAGGCCTTCGGGTTGGGTTGGGGTGGTTTGGCGGGTGGCGAGGGGAGCGAGTGGGCGGATGAAGCTGGCGGTTCTGAGCTGGATCGAGACGCAAGAACGGATCGGATCAGAAACGGATCGGATCGCCAGCAAGTCGTCCCGAATCGGCTCGAAATCGGATCGCCAGCGCTCGGCTACGGCTGGCCCTGGCCGATGCCGCTGAGTCGACCTGAACCGAATCGAATCGGAACCGCGGGCCAAGCCCGCGAATCGAATCGCATCGAAACCGCGTGGATCACTCGATCGTGAGCGATCCGCGGCATCGACGGCGGAGGTCGTTCAATGCTGGCCTTGCCCGGACCACCGCCGGCATTCGACCTCGAACGCACTGTGCTGCCGTCGCGACCCCATGCGGTGGCACACGGTCGCCTGCAGCCAAGCTGCGAATCCCACCGACTCTTTAGGGCGTAGGTGGTGTAGGGCGTTTCCCCTTCCAACCCCCTTCTTCCGCTTCGGGGAGGGGCGCATCACTGCTCCTCATTGTACACCCCCTACCCCACCCGACGAGGTGTTCTTTGCGGCAAAATCGTGTATCATGTTCGGGGGGGCCACGAGAACTTTGGACTGCTTCTTGTGATAGGGACGGAAGGGGTGCCAGGATATGGCATGCTGTGCGCAGGGCCATAATCCCTGCCAGAAACCACTACAAACTACACTTCGCGGCTGCATCTGGACCATGCGCTGGCACCCAGCGATCGCTTTGCATGAGCTTTGAGCAGGGACAGCGGGGGTGCTGGCACAGTGTCCTCTCTGCGCAGACCCACCGTCCCCGTCAGCACGCACTGCAAAACACACACTGTGTGGCAGAAGCTGGTTCGTGCGAGCCTGCGGCCCGCGATGAGTTCGCACTAGTTCTTGACAGAGGAGGCGTCGGGGGCGTCGGGGGGGGGGGGGGAGAGATCATGTTGGCTGCTCCGAGTGTCTCAAGAAGCATCGGGGGGGCGTTACCCCCCCGCCGACAGCCCCACATCGACCCCGGCCGCGGGGCAGCCACCGCGCGCCGAAGGCGCTCCGGCCCCCGTCGCGGCGCGACGACGAGGCGAGGTTGACCCCAGGAGAAGAAAGCGAGAGGAGGAGGAGGAGGAGGAGGAGGAGGAGGAGGAGGAGGGGGAGGAGGAGGAGGAGGAGGAGGAGGAGCAGGAGGGAGGAGCAGGAGGGAAGCGCCCAAGCGCAGTCTGCTGCGAGATCTGGACCACGCGCGGGCGCCCCACGATCACGGTATGCGCGCTGCAAGCTGTTCCCAGGGATGGCCAGGAGCCCTCCCTGTGGTCTGCACTGCGCTGTTCCGACGGGCCTCGCCGTCTCGGTGGGATCGGGGCCCCAGGCGCCGCCTGCTGCCGAAGTGCTGGGAGGGCGGGTGGGAGTGCGCGGCACGGCCTGCGGCTTCGGGTCGCTCGACCCTCCCCCTGGACCTGGGCGGGGGGGTCGCGGGTCGCTGGAGCATCCAAGATGGCCCAAGGTGGCTCCCAGAGGGCCTCAGCGAGGCCAGGATGGCCTCAAGATGGCTCAAGGTAGCGCGAGGTCGCTCAAGATGGCTTCCAACATTCTGCAAGTGGTCCCCAGACCGCTCCAAGAGGATCCAAACGGCCTTGGGCCCCCCAAGGACGCCCCCAAGAGGCCCAAATCCTTGCGGTGCCTGTTCATCGTTTCGCTTCTGATGGCCAGCCCCGAAAAACCCAAGAGGGCCCCAAGAACGCCCAAAAGCGCTCCAAGAGCGCCCCAAGAGAGCGCCAAGAGGTGAATCCTGGGATCCCAGAGGAGGGGAGAGTGTGGGGCTAATTGGGACACCCCTCTTCTTTGATCAATGTCCTCCGAGATGCTCCCCAAAAGGCCACAAGGCTCCCAAGAGAGCCACAAGAAGGTCACAAGATGCCCCTAGCAGGCCCCAAGAGGCCCACAAGAGGACAACACGACGCCCATGAGCCCCCAAGACGCTCCAAGGTCCAAGAGGCGACCAAAAACCTCCAGGAGACATCCCAGACGACTCCGAGACGCATCCAAGAGGCCTCTGGTTCATTGAGGCTGATTGGGGTACCCAAACGATGACATGCTCCCCTGATCAGGGCAGCATCCCGAAGCAGCCTTCCTGGATGAACTGGTGGGAACTCGCGAAGCGTTAAAATTGAGTCGCGCGACTAAATACTAGGTGCACAAGCTAGATCACCACAGGCCAGGTGCACAGGCTCAGCCACCACAAGCCAGCCACCACAAACCGCAATCCTGCCCACAGCAAACCACGTTGTGATGCGTATGTTGGGAAGCGACTCGTTGGAGGTCTTCGTGCGAACGAATACCAGTCCCGATTCAAAATGATTCTGGCGGTGCTGAAACAGACGATGCCAGGTCCGGCCAGAGTTCGACTACATATGTACTAGCAACAGTACTGACTTCAACCTCCCAAGAGTTGTATCCGAAAGTATGCTTTCGATCCGCATCCAAAGAATCTCCTCCTGCCGCACGGAGAGGCCGAACACGATGTCGAACTTGAAGCTCGCGGGTTCCTCCTTGCCAGCTGGGTCGGAGAGGACCACACCACCTGGGTGGCCTGGGAGCGATGGGCAACGATTAGCGGCCCCAGGCTGAGAAAGCATCTTCGGCGCAGCACCGTCGCCAGCAAAACGG